GATGGGTCCTTGCTAGACTAAGCTTCTTATAACATGTCTGATTTAAAATGGACTTGATTTCATAATTCATCATGGCTTTACTACTGCAAGAAAGAATTTAATGTCAATTTTAAAAGACTTTTTACACTGGATTTTAGAGAGAAGTAAAAAATAACTTGGTAAAAAGTTAGCTTTTTATATTGGTTTTTAAACTGATGTAAAAAGTTACTTTTCAAGTTGGTTGTCTTCAAAACCGACGTGAAAAATCTTCTTTTCACATTAATTATCATAACAAAACTAATGTGAAAAGTGACTTTTCACAATTGTTTTTTAAGAACTGATGTTATAAATCTTTTTTTTAAAAAAAATATTTGTATTTTTTTCTTATTATAATCCCCTCCAATAAAAAAATAACTCACAAAATATAAAAAAAAACAATTGCAACATTCAAAATACAATAAGTTTTAGTATGTATCTTGACTACTAGAGTTTTAGTGCCATATCATTCAACCAAATAATCAGTGGAAACTCAAGAGAACAATCAAGAACATGGGCTCTCTTGGACTCGAATCAACTTATGCTCCACCATTAAGCCCTTATTTTATTGGTCTTTGGACTATTCTTCACAAAACATGGGCTCTCTATTGGAGTAGGCTTATAACACATGTATTATCATCAAGGAATCATCCTATGATAGATTGGTCTATCAACGCCAGACCTCCACACCTTGATAACGAATCTTTAGACACAATATAAGCTTGTATTCTTGGACATAGGCACCTCCAAACATGTCGCTTTCGCTCCTTGGGCTGTGCTCCACATGGTCTAACTCCTCTACCTGAGTTGGGTTATATAAAGTTTTACATTGGTCCACTAGACCTGTGTTAGTATATGTGTGTCTTTTATAACACAAAAATTCCTCCTCTTCCTTCCTTTAGCATGGGCAAGTTTTGGGTAACTTGGTTATATATGTGCACGTGCATTTAATTCATAATGGCTTAAATTAAGGCAATTATCGAACTTGAAAGTTCAATAATGCTACTGACCAACTGATGCTCCATGATATTCTCTCATTTCTGATCGGCTATATGAGGAGAGAAATAAGTGAGATGTCTGGTTGTATATGACTAGATATGTGGGACATCACGGATTAAGACTTTAGTATATATTGGATGGATGTGTACAGTACCAGTCAAAGGACGAAGCTTTTTCAAATGCATCCAAATGAAGGCAAGTCATGGAGTACTCTCAAGCGGTGATTTTGGTCTCAGTCAGTTCATCAACAATTGAAGGTGCCACGGTACCATTATGACTCATGCATGTCGTTTTATTTAATTTTGCCTAGAAAGGTACCTTTTCAATTGTTACATTTAAATGTTTGAAATTATTCTGAAATACCTGGATCTTTTTTTAACAAAAGGAAAAATCTTACACCGTTAAAAATGCCCCTGCATCAATTAAAATCATAATTACAAGTGCAACTTTCTAAATTTACTAGTCAAATACAGAGGTGAACTTGTCAAAAAGAAAAATCTATGGAACCTTAGACGAAGGTGCTTTGTATTCGCGGTCCCCAATGTCGTTTTGCTTTCTGGGAAATAAATGTTTGCGGTTATAAAAGGATGGGTACTTGGTACTATTCTAAGGTCCTAGAATGCTGCTGTTGGAATGAGAAAGGAGAATTAACAGTTAAATCCTAATTGATTGAATTAATGATAGTTATGTCTTGACAAAATTGTTGAAAAAATTGATTCAGGTAATTGTAAATTTAAAAGTTTCAATTACATATATGACATTTAAATTTTAAATTCAAATTTCAAATTGTAACTAAGTTTCCTAGTTACTTATAACAGTCTGAATTAATATTTCTAATTCATTTTTTAAAGATCAAAAAGCTAATTTAAGTACCATTAATTCAACTACTCCTTTAATCCTATTTATAAAGTAGAGAGAAAAGATTTATTTTGATCCTATTTATAGGACACCTCAATATTATTATGTCTATCTTTACTCTTTTGCCCCTCTTCAATATTAGAGAGACATTAACTAGAGTATTTTATTTTTAAAGTAAGTATTTAACAGGGGTAAAGTTGAAAACTTGTTAAATTTTAAGATAGAGTTAATGAAATTTAAGGTTTTCCTTAATTCTGGTGAAAATATTATAAGTGACTTATAAATAAGACTAGAGGGAGTATATTATATTTAAATGTCATACACCCAAATAAAAAAAAAAAAACAGGACACAAAATGATCTTCTTCATTAGGAACTTGATTATCACATGCTTACAGGTTTAAGGTTTTCTTTAAAACCGATATTGAAAACATCATTTTCCACATCCGTTTTCAAGAAAATCGACGTGGAAAATGTTATTGACGTTCGTTATATGATAATCAACATCAAAGGTCCCTTGCGCATCTTCAAAATATTTAACATATTTACAAATTTCCTATCACCTTATTTATCACAACGGTTATTTATATAACCGTCGTTAAAAGGCATGCCAAAATCATTTTTTCTAATAGTGTACTTAGCATTGTGTACATATTTTGCCACTTCAACAGTAGCATAAATAAGGGAAACAATTGCACATAATCGGCCCAAAAAAATCAGTAACATAACAAAAATACGAATTAGCCCAGAAAACGCAGGTGCAAATTTGCGACATCCATTTTCTCTCCTCCAACTTAACCTATTGATTCACGCATGTCGTTTTATTTTTGTCCAGAACCTTCTCAATTTTTGTATTTAAAATTTTTGAAATTATTCCAAAATACCTTGGTCTTTTTTAACATACGGAGTAAAATGCCCCTAAAGCAATTGAATTACCTAATTGGCATAAAATCATTTGATATATAAGAGCTGCATGTATGTTTATGGGTGTGTTTGGATTAAAAATTTTAAAATTGAGGTTAGAATCAACTGATGTTAGAACAAATGTCTGTAACTTTAACGTGATTTATGTTTGGATATCTTTTTTCAAAAGTCAGTTAAATGAACTAAAATTTATTTGGATGATTTGATTCAAAAATCAATTGAGATATATAATGATAAAAATAGACATCAATTTTTTTTGTATATATTTTTGTAACTAATATGATATTTTTAGGAAAGAATATTAAACTTACAATTAAATTTTTCAGAAAGGTAAAATTAAATTATACAATTTTATTTTTTAAAAGTTAGAATTAAAAAATCTAAGATAAATGACATATTAATTTTTTTTAAAATTTTATAAATGTGTTGCACTGATTTTAAAAAATAAATTAAATTGCTACTAACTTAAAAAATTATTGTTTATGATTAGTTTTTTATTCCGTTTAATTTAATCATAATTGATTTAATGATTCAATTTGTATAATCTCATATTTCTTTTTCTTTCTATTTTTTCCTGAAGCTTGTGCAAATACTTTACTGTAAGATGAGAGATTGAGGAAGCCAAGAGATATCATGTGAGGACAAGAAAGAGAAAACCCACAAAACAATGAATGCCAACTTTACTTTCCCACGTTACGTTGCTTCAGAAGCTGCATTTTGTGGCTTCAGTTCTAATGTCCATTTCTTTCCCAACGTTCTTTACAAAATTTTTGTAGTCCAACAAAAATAAAATTTTTATAATGAGCTTTTGATACCTCAATTGAGGTTTTGATTATCCAAATCTCAGTTATGTATTTATCCAAACATGCACTATTTCTAGCAGGCACAGTTACAGCGAGATTTGATGTTGATGGATGAGTCAAGAATAACCAACATCCTTCATGTGGCGTGGCTATTCAAAACGGGCTACAAGTTTGCGGAAGACAAAACCTCACCAATAACATGAGGCTCTACTGCTCAGGCTCTCTTGCCGAGAGATAATGGTTTATATCGAATCTAAAAACTATAAAAATTAAGTTATATTTTTATGAAATAATATAATTTTTAGTCCTTAAAGTTTCTCTCAATTATAGATTTAATTTTTGAACTTTGATTTAATATTACTCCTCTTTGTAGTTTACGGATTTTAAGAAATTTAGAGATTGAGTTATATTGAATCAAAAAATTATAAAAACTGATTTATTTGAAGTCTAAAAAGTTTAGGAATTAAGTTGCTCTGAAGAATCAAGTCTCATTTGATTACTATAAAGAAATAAAATAGAATGAATTGAAAAAATTAAAATAAAAATAAACTAAATCACCTTTTTCTCTCATGGTAAGTATGATCAAACTCACTAATGTATACTATAAATGTGAGAATCATCACATCCAAAAATTTCATAAATAATGATCTTCAACCCCATGAAGTAATTATCCATCTCCCTTATGATTGTGATTCACCTATCCCTTTTGATCATTTTATTTTTACTTATTTTTTTAATCAATTCCATTCAAATTCATTTTAGTAACCAAACAGGATCTCAAAGTTTAGGGAATGAAATGATAATTGAAGCAAAGCTCAAGAACTAAAAATTACGTCTTCCCTATTTTTATTATTAATATGACATGTCTAATCTTTTTTAAAGTGATAAACAAATATTTTTTATGGATAAAGTTATTTTTTATATTTATATCCTCCTTTTTTTAATTTTATGTAATATTTATATCCTCCTTTTATTTCAATTAACTCTGCGTACTTGGTCCCTGTAAGGATTGGGATGTGAACTAGTTCCAAATGAGATCAATTACATTGGCTTCCATCTCTCTAGTCCACTAGGCTGGAAATGGAACCTTAGGCGGGAAGGTGCTTTAATTTGTCTCCACGGTCCCCCATTTCGTTCTTTTCTTTCTGGTTTGGGATTATGGAAAGGATTGTACTTCGTAGTTTTCCCAAGTCCCACAAATTTTAAATGTTTATTAAGAATCTTGCATATATAATTAGTAATAAATCTTGGAAGAATTTTCATACAAGTATAAGAAGGTATGTAGGCAATTATATTTACAAAGCTCAACCACCAACGGAGGGTTTGCCTTTCTAATGCTTCAAATAGAAGCTTTCATCCATCTGAAAATGCGCGCTCTTAAAATAAGAAAACTGGACACAAGATGATATTCTTCACTAGCAATTTTACTATCACATATGGTACAACGCACTGCAGGATTATATATTGCGTATATAATTTGCCTCTGCAACAGTTAAAGCAATGAGGAAAAGTATTATACTTAATTGAACACATAAAATCACTAAAACAATAATAATAAGAATTAGCCTAAAAAGCGCAGGTGCAAATCTGCAATATCGATTTTCTCTCCTCCAAGTTCCTGACTTGTTGATTATCTTGACAAATTTCTTCCCAATCCAAAACTGAAAGCGCAGTGTGATTAACACCAGAATTAGCATAACCAAGCTCAACCATACCAAATATATTACAGTTATCGTGATCAAAATCGATTTCTCCCGTAAAATTTGAACTGGGACCACTATTACGAGGGCTATTAAGTAGGCGAGCGCAAGGGAAGAGAGAGTGACACACATGCCTACTGATAGCAGCCATATCACAGCTTTATCATTCATAGGAAACCCACTTACAAGCAAGAGGGTGACACCAAGTGATGAAAAAAAAGAGATGGTAACGCAAAGCAAATAGCTCCGAAATTCCATAGGCAGACTAAAGGATGATATTGCTTCTCCTGGACAATAGTTATTATCATGAAGGATGGTGCAGTTCAAGATGTAATTTGTTGATGAGTTGATACTGGGGGGTTCAGTTGATGAGGTGTTATACTCATTATTAGACAGTAAGCCTTGTTGAATGAAGCCACCAGGCGGATTAATTAAAGCTTGAAAGGTTATAGTTGTAATCACAGTTGACACCAGACTCAGATAACCCCTCATCCCTTTTAACCAATCAACCTCATGCTTCAGCCAATTTTCCACCCATTTTAAAATCTTCATAAACCAATTTCCGATCCCCTTGAAGATCTTCATACAAAAATTACCATTCTGAGGAGGGTCAACGTGATCAGTAGATGATGGTCGTGGTGGGTGTGGATGATGATGATCAGCTTCAAATCCTTCCTTTTCAGCCTTTGTCAATATGTGTTGTATTTCGCAGATTTTAAAGTCTTTTATCGGACTCTGTTCCACGATATCCTGGGCTGTGACGCCCATCTGGTTCTTCAAGTTTGCTATTTCTCTCATTTCCGGAATTGACACCAGATAGCTTATCACCTAAATAACAAACATGTTAGTCAAGTATTCAAAGTTCATTTTTTGTCGCCTTAAATGTATAAATTAAACATAAATATATTACTGGGATTTCCACAAGGAATCTAATCATAAATAACTAAAGAATGTGGAGTAAGAATTTTGATTTGTTTTTAACATAAATAAATTAACAGTTTGAATTTGAGATATATGAAAAGGAATAATAAATTAGTTATATTTATGGCACACTATCATATTATGACGACGGTAAGCCTTATTGTCCCACTGATCACTAGAACACGCTACCATGCAACAAATACCGGAATTGTTAAATTGCATTATTGTTAATACATTGCATCAAGCTCCCAGGCACTAGTATATGTCGTAGAAGTGAGGTGAGTTATGGTAGTAACCACTGATTAAGATTCAAGTCATTTTGATATAACCAAAAATAAAGTGCATGTAAACTCCAAAAGAGAAACTGTTATCAGAATTGAAAAGAAAAAGGATAGCAAAAGAATTAGTATTGTACCTCAACTCGGTTCAACATGGTAGCAAAATGAAGAACGGTGTTTCCAGCATCATCCGAGCTCGTGAAGTTGAGAAGCTTGCCAGTAATGGCAGACTCCAATTCCACCAAAACTTTGAGAGTCTCTAGATGGTTGTATGTGACACACAAGTGAAATACAGTTTTTCCTTGGTGATGAAAACTCAGAGACTCTGGCTTCGCTTTGATCAACTCTTGCACAACCTCTTTCCTTCCTCTCATAGCAGCATAGTGAAGAGGAATTCTTCCTTCTTCATCTGGAAACAAGCATGGCTCGTTTTTAGCTTTAAGCAATTCCTTTACGATGAGAAAGTGACCCTCTGCAGAAGCCAAGTGGAGGGCTGTCTTTCGGGAGGAATCCAACTCAAGGACAAGATTGGGTTTGTGAGTGACAAGTTTCTTTGTGAATTGAAGGTGGCCATGCAAAGATGAGATGTGTAAAGGAGTTTCGGCGAACGCAGTTTGTGAAGTTTTATGCAAGATATGTGAGTGTTGCTGTATCAATGAATTAAGCATTGATACATCCCCACTATATGCTGCCTCATAAAGAAGGCTCATTTGGCCAGAAGATGTTATTTGGTTGAGTTCAACCTCCATCTCTCTTGTGATATAACGCTTCATTATATTACACAGTGCCCTTTATATATAAATGGGTTGTTAGTGTGTGTCCTTCACACCTAGACTTTTGACTGGGATGAATGCACTGCTTGTAGAGCTTGGGACTTCTAATGTCCTACACTCTAATGCTTCTTTGTGATGTCCCAATTTTTTAATTGATTTTTTTCTTTTAATTACTAGAATCTACATAAATTGAGAGACATCTTAATATCTTATGGTGATGAAATGATGCAATTTTGCATTAATTAATTTTTTTCGACTGTCCAACAATTATGTAATTTTTATTTATTTTCTTTGAAAAATAGTAAAAAAAAATTAAAACTATACTATTCATCAATCATTATATAAAAGATATCTAAATCTCTTTCATTTTATATAGAATAAAAGCTATAAAGTAGTTGAGACATTTAAAAGACTATCAGAGGGGCGGTGTATTAATTAGAGGATCCATGATCGCGTCTTTAACGTATTTAGTAGTAAAAAATACAAAAAAGAGATAATAAATGTGTGATGATAAGACTCTGAGAACACACGACCACAAATGTCGTCGTTATCGTACTTAGCAGTCTGATCCTACCTCTTATTTCTTTTCCATGAATGCGCAGATTTTACATCCAAAGATACCCACATTTCTTTTTCACGAAATGGAGGAATCTAAAAAAAAAAAAAAGGAGGATAATTATTGCTAAGTCCCTCGCACTGATTCCAATTACTCTAAAATTACATAAAATGCACAAATCGCTACCGACTCCCAAATCCCTTAATCATAATTTGGCATTTGGGCAATTACAAAAATATATATCCATATCCTATTTGAGAGGATTATTCCCAAGGGATAGATCTGAAATTATTCTGAAATACCTTGATCTTTTTTAAAAAAATTAAAGGAAAAATCTTCTTACACGGCTAAAAATGGCCCTAAATCAATTAAATTACCTCGTCGGCATAAAATCGATTATAACATCTGTATGTTTACTTCATTCAGCACGCACAGGTACAGCGAGAACTGACGTTGATGGATGAGTCTGGAATAATTATGATGTCCATATACGAAACTACTTCATTGGTGGGATGAAGGCAATTGAAAATTCAGCTATGTTAAATAATGCTTATCTTCATCCAAACCTCTCATTTCTTATCGAAAGTGATTAAGATATGGTTTACTCGATCGGTCAAAAGTCATGAGACATACTCAAATAAGGGATAATAAGATACTTGTTCTTGTGGCTTAAATTTGTGTAAGAAAATTCATGACGTGTATATTTCGGCATTGTTTGATTAAATGAAAAATAGTTCAGATTCAATATTTTACAAATGGACCTTTTTTTTTCTTTTGCTTTTCAGTTTTTCTCTATTATAATTTTGGATTATTCAAATCAATTTATTTTTCTTAATTTAATATTATTACGATTTTTTGTACCAAAGAACAATTATAAGTGAGGTGAAAGTGTGTTCGGCCTGAAATTAATATTCGCTAAGCATAATTTTTTTTAAAAGAAAAAATGGGTCTAAAATCCAATTCGTTTTGTAAAGCCGCTATAAGAGACCTATATGATTAAAGTATAATACTTTTTTTTCGTGTCAACTTATAAGATAATTTTAAAGGACATTTACCGTTTCAAAATATAAAACACCTTAAAAAAATTAAGGCTTTATTAAATAGATTTATTTTAATATTATTCTTTATCTTTTTTTATTTAATATTAATTAAGTGTAGATTTAAAGTAATTAAATAAAAGGTCTTTTTAAAAGTTTATATTTTTATTTTAAAAAATAAAATTATTAAATATATTTAATAAAGTTTATTAATATGTAAAATTTTTAGTTAAAAGTATTTTATAATTTAAAATAAATAGAGTGTTTTTTTATAAAAAAATTAACGGCTAAGGGAAGAATTAGACAGAACATCAGTCAAAGCAGTTGACAGCTTGAGGTTCCTCATTGGTATTTCCCAGAAGTTGGGGTAATTGAGAAGAACATATATTGGCAACCAATTAGCTGTCAGAAACTTAGATTCAATTTATGAATTAATTTTTTTTACTGAAATAAAAAAAACAAAAATCTATTAACTCTTTAAAAATTTAATAATTATACAACTTTATTTTTATTAAAAATAATAATTTCATAACATATTTTCTCTCTTCAAAAATTAATGGAGGGCGAATGAAAAATTTATAATAAAAATTTAACGAGGTGATTTATAAATAGAACTAAAAATAATCTCCACTCTCTACCTTATAACTAAAATCAAATAAAGTATGAGAGAGGCGAAGACATTAAAATACTTAATCAAATTAATGATATCCAATAATTTATGGGAAAATCACCCAAAAGTCCCACCCATGAATTCTAATTTTTAAGAAACATCATGAAATGCTCAAATAACTTCATAGTCCCATAGACTTTAATTGTAATTAATTCTCACTGTAGATTTACCAAGATATCCATGTTATTTCACACCCCCCAACTCCTCTCTCCCTTCCACATTGTCAAAATTACTCTTAGACCATGTTTGGTATATAAGATGAATTTTAAAGGAATGAGAGTGGAAATGGGAGTAGGAGTGGGAAATAGTTTTAAAAAGATGTTTGGTATAACAATGGAATGGTAGTATAATTTTTATTTTGCATATATAATTATAATAATAAAATACAACAATGCCCCTATCTTTCTCAAATTAAGTCACCATCTCCATCACATCTTCATCTCCAATCTCCTCCATTACTTCTAGAATTAAAAGTTCGTGAGGTATTCAAATCCAAAGCACGTAATTATATATTATGAACAAATATTCCATTCAAAAAATTCAATAAAAAAATATGAATCATTAAATAAATTCATATATGCAAAATTTAAAAGGAGAAAAGATGAAAAAGGTCTGTGATGGATTGAGCAACAGAGGATTATGCAAATATCATCACTTCCACGACTTCTCAAAAACATTGTCGTCGTCTTCTTCTTCAATGTAACTCCATACTATCATCTTCTAGGTTTAATTAATTGTTTTATCATTGTTGGCAATATCAACGATGAGGGTCATAAGGCTTCAAGGATTAAAAAGAACATAGAAGGAAAATTTCAACCCAAATCGAAGTCCATGACCATGAAAAAATTATTCCAACATAGAAAAATTTCATGAAGCCAACATAGAAAATGGTTTGATAGAAATATGTTCAGCAAAACCTACTTTTGATATGTGTTAATAATGAATTTTTTGTATTGGAACGGTTAACCCTAGAATATAGAAAGATCAAAGTCCTCATTCAAAGAACAACTAGTCCGTCAATCCCAAATCTAGAAAAGACATTAGAAAATCAAAATCCCCATTCATAACATTGAAAAATCAATCCCAAATCTAGTTGGCAGTCAACCTCGCCAGAAAAATTGAAGGAATTGATAAAGGTGGAGGGAGAAGTCAACGAAGGTAGAGCAAGACAAGGTGAACTCGAACCAAGGTCAGATTTTCAATGGATGAAACTTCGATGGAGTCAAACTCAAACTAGAGTAGGCCGTTGACGAAGGTGGACGGAGAAGTTGGGGGAGCAAACATGAAGAATAGAGAGGAAAAAAAATTAAGGGGTAATTTTGTCCTTAAAAATGTTAAGCAAGGATAGCTTAGTCAAAAAAATGTTCATTCCTAAAGAATAGTACCATTCCTATGTTTCTTTGAAGGAGTGCTCATTACCTCGAGATAATGGGTCTTTTCATTAGAATGTCCATTTCTACACACCAAATATCTAAAATGAACATTCCTTCACTCATTTCCAATTCATCAGCACTCATTCCGTTGTACCAAACAAGCTCTAAAGTCGTCTCCCACCACCCTCTTCCTCAAGTACACCACTTTCTTGATACTCCCACATATCTAATTTTTCTATTTTTTTTAATAACAACTTGTGATGAAATCTAAAAAGAAAAAGGAGAAAGAACTAAAGAGGAAAGAAAGTGAACTCGAAAAATCTGGAAGAGTAAAAGGAAAAGATAAAGAAAGAGAAAGTAAAGCGAAATACATTCCCAGATATACAAAGAGTTGAGGAATTGCAAAATTCTACTGAACCTGATCTCATATTGTTCATTAATCAATCCTAGAAAGAGAACAGAGAGGACCTATAACGCTAGCACGTCAAAACGCCATGTCCATATCTGAGTGTATTTCCGGTGGAATCGAAGAAGGGCTCCAGGTGGACACGCTTGTGATGGCAGGCTTCAAGGCGGCATCAGCCTTGCAATTGACGCAATGCTTCGCTGCAGCGTCAGCCTTGCACAGGACGCAGAGCTTCATAGCGGTGATGGCGTCGGCCTTGAATGGGAAACAGAGCTTCGCGGCGGCGGCGACCTTGCAAGTGAGGTGACATTTCATAGGTTCGCTGGTGTGTCACGAGAGGCAATGCCGCAATTAGAGACGACGAGGGACACGCACTTTTGGGAGAAGATGACGAGAAGGAAAAGGGGCAATTTAGGAATTAGACAACAGAAATTATTTACACAAAGTCCCCTAGACTCTAAAATTATTTATCTATTTCATGGGACCACTCAGTGACTAGAATTTTTCTGTGGGGCTTATCATTAATTTTTTTATATTTATTAGAACCAATCCGTTCACCAAGCAAGTATTAAATGTGACCACATTTCTCAACAAGAATTTGATAACTATATCCTGATTTTTAAAAATAAATTGTGAATATCAATTTAAATAATAACAAACAAAAAATTTTAGTTACAAGTTAATTAAGAGTTACATTTAAAATTCAAGTCTCTTATTTAAAATTGAAATTTAAAAATTTAGAATTATTAAATAAATATTTACAACTTATTTTAAAAAATTTAGTAGAAATCTAATTCTCATTGATGTGTTCAGATTTAACTTTGATTCTCCCTAAAAACGACAGAAATATTCAAGAAATGGAAAAGTAATATTAAATTAGAAATATAGCATCTACGACATTTTTAATAATATTTCTTATAACAATCT